AAGTGAGACTTAATCAAGGTGGGATTAGCTGAGAGAGCAAGGATGTACATGTAGCCAACATCAGAAGTCCCCATGTTGTCAGGCTGGGGAAGTCACTCACAGCAGCCCTTGTAAAAGTGTGCATTAAACACAAACACTACAAGAGTCATTCGTTTATTTCCAGCTTTTTAATGTGACAGAGAGAACAAAAGCAAAGTCCATTGGAACAGCTGCAATTTCCAGTGACAACCAGACACAGATCAAATAAAAAAAACTCATAGAAGAAGAAAGGTTTCAATTGATGAAAAGGAATCAAGGGACTGGAATTGTCTATTTCACACACAGTTGACAGAACATCTAAACGAAACATTTCATTAAATGCACAACACTGGGTGTTATTTACAGTGGAACTTGCAGTGTGTGTACATTTATAGAGCACTAACACCACACAGAGCAAAAAAATTTATTTCAATTTGTTTCCTTCACAGTCCCCAGGTTTGATTCTTCTTAAAAGCGGAGTTTGCTAATACGAGGGTAAGAAACTGAGGGAGAAACTTGATGGAAATACAACAGATGGAGCTCAAATCTACATCAAACTAAAAATATACTCTCAGGTTTCATATGTCCTGTGGAAAGTCAAAGGACATTATCAGGGAACATAAATAAATGGACCTAGGGCCTGCTTAACAGTATCAGAGTATACTCTGTTGTTGGAGGTCTCAAAGCAGGATGTGGAGGAGACCTGCACATCTGCAGAAAGCTCAGCTCCATGCAGCCTCACTCTGTGCCCCTGTGTGAGCCCCACCTTGGGGCTGGACCACTTCCAGGCTCAGGGAACACCCCTTAGAGCACCCCTCTGGTATCACCGAAGGAGATCAGGCTGCCTGACCACTCCCCAGTATGCTGAACATCTGGATCCGGATACAGGTTTTCCAAGAGTGATCCTTTGCTTAGTCCAAAAGATCCATATAGCACTGGGTATAAGTCACAGAACATTCCAAGGGGATAAGGATCATATGGGCAAGGAGGGGATCACCCCACTCAGCACAAGCTGGAGCCACCACCAGTAGGACATAGCAGAGCCAAAGGCAGGGGAAAGGAGCTGTCCTGCAAAACCAAATTAAACGAATAGGTATACAACAACCAGTTAAATCAACAGGAAAGATAAGGAGGCAGAACTCTTATTGTAATACCACTGGTGTCTTATAGTAGTATCAACAGTGCTTTTTCCTCTCAATGCCTGTTTCTGCATGCTCAGAAACTCACTAGTGAACTCCTCCTGTGACCCTGTTACACTGCTGCACCCCTAACAACATTAAATCACAGCAGGCCAGTGTGGGCTCCCTAGACCCACCTTTCCCATGACACGAAGTCCCTGGCTGCATGGCTGTACTGGTGTGCCACGCATACATGAAGAGGTCCAGCTGTCCTCTGGAAGAGGTCTTTGGGATTTAAGGCAAGTCCCCTGTCTTGGTTCTCTGTGTCCCTGTTGCAGTAACGTTCATGAATCCAAGGAAGCAGTGCTCTGCAGAGATCATCGGTGGACCTGTGGTCAGCAGTTTTCTTTGTGGATGGTCCAGTGCATCCAAGACAAGGAGACCGTTCACTGTGGCAAAGACAGGCAGGAGGAACCAATGGAGGAGGCATGCTGGTCCCTTGCACTGAAGGTATAATGCTGATTTTGCAGTAGAAATAAAGCTGAGCCAGCAGAGGAGGAGCTTGAGAGATATCTCCCCCTGCATGATGCTCCAGGGCTCAGTGGCTCAGGCTCCACCTGGCAGGTATCTCATGGCTTGAAACTGAGATGCAAACCAGAGCACAGTCTGAGGGGACTTCACCCATCAATCATTTTGTAGTGTGGAGCCTACACTGATTTACACTGTGACAAGGACAATAAACAAACACATGAGGAGTATTGACTAAGCCTTGTTCACGCTGAAGTTGGATGGGAGACGTTAGTCCAGGTATCAAAAAGGTTGATGCCTGAGCTGGAGCTGTTGCCCTAGATTTCTCTGTTACAGAAGGAGAAAAGCAGAGCTATCCAGGGCAAACCACCTTCTCAGCAAGGTGCCTGAGCATATATTGCCTATGTGTTTCAGCTGAGAATAGTGGGAACACAGGGAGATGAGTTCAGATCCCGACATCTAACTCATAGGTGTCTAAGGCTAGGTGATATTGTTTCTCTTTAGCTTTTCCTTTCTTCCTTCTCTGTTCATCGTTGTCCCTTCCTAGGCCATTGTGTATGTCTGCCCTTTCCTATTAGGTCACAAACTCTCTCGTCAGGGGCAGAGACCTTATCACAACACACCTGCATTGTCCTCTAGCCCTCAAGTGAGTGACCCATGGATTTTAGGGGTGCAAAGGGTTTCTGCAGCCACATGGGTAGCTTGTGTGACATTGACAACAAGGTCCTACTGCTCTTTACCCTGTCCCAGCTAATCTCTCGAAAGGGAGGTTTAGCAGCCTGTGAGAAAGGTGTTCTGAAAGAAGAAAGGTTTCTAAGACTGGATATTTCCTAACATTACATTGCCATTTCTACCTCCTCAAGACCTCAATTTCTTCCTTCTCTGAAAATTAACAGAGAAGTTTTGCAGAATAAATAACGTCATTACTGTCACTGTACGATGTCAGTGAAGAACACGAAGGGTCAGGTTTGCTGTCAGAGCACTGGGTGATACGTACATAAGAGTGCTTCATAAAATAAACAGGGAGAGGTTTTGGCTCCACAGAGCAGCACAACAGAACAGTCTAGAAAACGAAACATTGGAATGTGGTAACTGGTATGCACAGCCCAACAAAATGAATGAAACTTAAAGACCATGGTGATCTTTTGTGTTGAAATATGTATGTAGCTGCTTCTCACCATGCAAAGGGACCAGACATTCTTAGAGAAGAAAAAAACCAAAACCATGTTCTGGGCTGTGATTCTCAACAGAAGCTGTAAACTGCTGCCAAAGGACATAACTACATTCACTCCTACCTTAGAGAAGGAACCTTGCTGTTTTGAAGACAAATCAAAAGAGGCCCTAAGCTACCCATAAAATGAAGAAATGAGGCATAATGAGCGTGGTTATTATGGCAGCTTGTGATTCTATCAATTTCATAAGCCTCAGAATAAATCTCAAAAATCCCAAATAGCCCATTGTAGCCTAGCTGCTCTGTAAGTGTTTATCCCTGACTGACACAATGATAAAAGTGATGCTCATTAGAGGGTTTTGCCTCATCAGCAAAGGATTTGCTTCATGTGATCTAGCCACTCTCTGCATCCTTCAGCTGTCCCCTGCAGCAGCACCAACGCCGACTCCCACTGTTGCATGGGACTGGTCCTGTGCTGCTAATGTATTTGGCTGTTTGTGCTGCTGAAGGCAGAGGTGTTAGACTTCAGACCTGCTGGGTTTCAGCCTAGCCTTGCTTGTTTCTCTTACAGAAAAGTGGAAAAAAAGGAGGAAAAAAAATGGATCCAAAGAAAGGTAAATGGGAAGATCAATAGCGAAAGTACAAAGAACTTTTTATGTCACTAAATATCCTGGTGAGACAAATTTCCTGCATTATATGACAGTTTCTGATCAATTGTGGTTCATTGTTGGGCTTGTTAAAAGGGTTTAATTAGCATTACCTCATCAATTGTGAGCACTGGTGTGTTATTTAACAGTATGCATTTCATTCTTGTCTCCCAAGAAAATATAGCCCAAACTATGCAACTCACGTTGCTTTTAGATGCAACAGGACTTAAGCTGTATGATAAAAAGAGCATATGAATTTCAGAAATGGTCTTTACAGGATATCAAATTTAAATGGGACACTTAATGGAGAATTTAATGTTCTGTACAATGAAAGCTTGCTGCGTGCATTCCCTGTGTAACAAGTTAAATGGCTTTAAGTAACTGTGCTTACAGTGCTTCAATGAGACCCAAGTATATAAGAAAATCAAGCATCATATTCTTTAAATAATATGGCTAAAATGCTGGTAAATTCACAGTTACCATACTTTAGGTATTTGACAAAAAGTCCCCTGTTTACACTGGATAACATGTACACATTTGGTTTGTGGAATGCGCCAACATCTTATCAATTCATCCTCTGTGAAAACAGTAGGAAAAAACCCCTCTGAATCATCATAGAAATATATATTCCCAGCCATCAATACATTTAAATATTTGGTGCCTGGATATAAAGAATGAAGTGTCACTAAGTTGGTTATGACTGCAGACAATCTTGAATTATTAGGATTCTTTTCTAGTGTCTCTTTTACGATCTTCTTAACGATGCTGAGATTAAAAATTGTGAATTTCAATAGCTGATGACTTCAATATGTGTGTATGTTTGCAAGTATGTGTAAATGCATATATATATATATAAAATTATGTATATATTCCTCTCCCAGACCATAGTGATTCTCTATGCCCAAGTAAAGACAATAAAGGGCTTTGAAATTGAGTCTTCTGAGAGAGCCGAGCATCCACCCTCATATCCTCCAGAAATCTGGATTCTCTCACTCTTGCAGGTGGTTTAGTTGGTAACCCCCAACCCAAGACAGTTAGGGTCACCAGCCACATTTGTTGCTCCGGTTCCTATTGCTGGAGCTCACCTACAGTAGATCTGCCACTTGTGTCCACTCTGGATGCCTTTCATGTTTGAGCACAGCTGATATGAGTTGCCAAAGAGCTCTGGGCAAGGCAGGCAGCATCTCACAGCTCAGCAAAGGCATGGGGGGGTAAGGATCTGTTCTCCCGTCAGACACGCTCACACATGCATGAAACTGCTGTTTTCTTGTGTTGCTACACTGGGTGGAGAGGAAAGGGCAGGCTCCCAGCGTAGGCAAGGTTAAACCCAAGCTCTGCAAGGGGTGTGTGGTAGCTGCATGCACCAGTCGTGTCTGTTAAATGGTGTTTTTGGAGGGGGATGTGTTTTTATCCCTTTGGGCTCTTCTTTGCTTCCATTGTCTTCTTTGAGGTATCTACAGAACAGTGTAGAAATGGACATTTTGATTTCCCCAAACATGGCTCTTTTTAGATCTTCTGCATCTGCCTCCCCACAACCTCTTTGGCCTCACTTGATCACATCAGGACCTGTTCTCGAGTCTCTGGCAGGCGCAAAGCTAGCAGGCCACCTCCAACCAGAGCAGAGGAAGCCAGAAGGATGGGAACCACCTTAGTTATCCCTACAAAGGAGGCAAAGATTGAGTTTCCCAGGATGGCACCAAACTTGCAAAGCCCGTTGAGGATGCCAAAGGCTGTTGCCCTGTGGAAAAGAAAAGCAGGGAGCAGTGGTTAGGAGGAAGGCTCTCGGTGTAACTACAGAAGATCTGGATGGGTGATTTTGTGGATGCTCTTGTGTTCCCCAGGCTACACTTCTAGCAAGCAAAGCCAGGCAGAATAAATAAAGGGATAAATAGATATCACTGTTTTGCATGTCTGTGATTAGTGGAATGTCTGTGTGTATTCGTTTCTCTTTTCCATCTTAGCTTCTCCCCAGTCCTGCAGTGCCCCATTACGTCAGCCTTTGGCCTCCCCAAATACAGCAGGACACAACCTACTCTAGAATTTGTCAAAACCCTTCCAAGTGCTGGCAGGAGTGGGTTGTCACCAGGGAGCTAATTACAGCTCTCCTCCAAATCCTGCTTCACCCAAAACCTTGTGCCTTCAAAGCACAGTCTTACTCCTTCCCTTCAGGCTTCCCCCAGCAGCCTGGAAAAGGCAAAAAAAGACTTATAATGATGTTGTGAGGAAAGATACGATCTGCAGCACAATCTCCTGAGCTGCCCCATCTCTCAAGCCAATCTTTGCACATGGCTGTCTTCAAGTTGAAGAGGGGAAGGCTGTCACAGTGATGCACTATGACAAGAGGCTGGAGGACATATTTGAAAGGCCAAACCTCCACGAACATCCATGGAAATGACAGACTCTGTATTTTATCTGCCTATAATTTCCATACACCCACAGGACTCCCGGTGTACAAGCCACCATGCATGCAGAATTATGCTCATGAGTGTCTGTGCAGATCCAGTAGAGCTGCAGAACAACCCAGCCCTTAAGGACTGGTGAAGATGAATAAAAATGTACACCTTCCCCATCTACATGTATCTAGAGTGGCTTTTTCATGGAGTGCCCCTCTCTGGAGACACTCAAAACCCACCTAGATGTGTTCCTGTGTAACCTGCTCTAGGTTACTTGCCTTGGTAGGGGTGTTGGACTAGATGATCTCTAGAGGTCCCTTCTAACCCTAATGATTCTGTGCACACTAAAAGGACAAAGTCAGAGGATGGAGACTAAAAGGAGCAATATTCTGGGCACCTTTTGTCAGTGGGGTAGAGCTCCACAGTGATCACATCCAGCGCATTCCAGGCAGCGATGCTGGCCCCGCAGAAGAGGCACTGCCAGCCGATCATTGCCGACTCACTGTTGCCAAAGAAGAGGAAGAAGCAGCACACTGCTGAGATCAACATGGAGCCACCTAGGGGGGGCAACCAAGGGAAGAATGTTAGCATTGGTTTCCTCTGTCCGCAGCTGAGCAAACATATTTGTTGATAAAAATGGCTTTCAAGTGATGGTGTTTCATCCCAGAATGAACTAAATCTTCAAGAATCAAAAAATAGCTTGATGCTGCCTATCTATCATTCTCTAATGCTGGAAACCAGCCTGAAAATGTTCTGAATGACCATCTGATTTTGCTGATAGTCTTCTCTATGAAGACTCTGAAGACAGGCATTTTTCCAGGCAGGTTTCCAGCATCTCAAGCTTCCAGATGGACCCAAGAAGAGCACAGGCAAGGCAATGGGGAGGAAGAATCACTGTGAAGGTTTTCCAGCATGAGTTTTGAGTGAAGAGCTTGTGCATTTCATATCTTACTGAAATCACTTGATATATTTCTAGTGCCAATTAGGATAATTTACAGTCAACTGTATTAAATACTTGAGGTCTCTTTTAATTATCAGAACATCATTAGATTTCATGGCACATTTGCACAGGAGCTATAATTTTATGAATACCACTGAGGGAGAAAGTGAGAGCGTTCATGCTCAGTTAGGCACAGCTGAGATTCAGAAAGATGGATAGCTGCCTCCCTGCCTTCTACCCTGTTGGGAATTTACACCTGAAAGATGCAATTCTTGCTGAGTTGAAGTATCTTTTACTGGAAATTTCTGTTGTTGCTGAAATGCTTCCATTTGCTATCAGGAAACCAAACAATTTGTTTGTTTGGGGTTTTTGAAATCCATTTGACACCATCCAGAATTATTTGGATGCTGAACTGGAACTGAAATGCTTCATTCTGGACATGATGTTGCATCTTGCCTGCTCTGGTGCTCTGCCTAAGAAAAGCTTCAGTGCAGGACTCCACACCCCCTTCTCCTCCATGGTACCTGGCCAAACTACTTCCCTCACTGTGCAGTGCTGCATGAGGGCCACCATGTGGGCACCAGGAGATCTGCTGTTTGGCACAGAAGAGGATTTAGCGCAACATGATAAAACTGAAGTCCCAGCAAGGCACATAGTGCAAAAGAAAACTCAGTTTTCATGTTAAGCTGACCAGAAATAATACGTTCAACAGAGTGATACGGGTGGGATGCCAAAAGGCTGTTTCAGTTGAAAATTCCACAGTGAAACGTTTCAGTGTGTCGTGACTAATTTTTGCCCTGTACATTTCATTCTGCAGGAGAAATAAGCATTTAGGATTCCAGCTGTCAGCTCAGTTCCACATCGAAGTGCTGAAATGCTGACATGTTTGCAGGGTGAGCAATCTGATTCTCATCCAGCTTGCTTTATTTCCCATAGACCCTCTGGTTTGTTAGGGTCTTTTCCAAATTCACTACATGAACGCTCAGGGTGCCTTCCTGACACACTGATGGGATCACCTTGCTTACCTTAGCCTGTCTGATGGTGAGGTTAAGCTAAAGAAGCTTCCCTCTGTTCTCAGAAGAGAGGTGAGCTCAAGAAAGGGATTCATCCCTTACCCCTGAGCTACATCACTGATTTTATTAAACACACTTGGCTGTCCCTCGGGGTATGATTTCCATAGTACCTGGAAAGCAAGGTCTGAACACTGGGGGAAACAACACCAGAAATTCTCGAAGTAACCATAAAGCTGATAAGGTGATAACTTATTCCCATAATGCTAAAGGGATTGACTGTGGCATGGTCACTAACCTAACATATGCTCTCTGAAGCTGTCTGTAAAATCATTTGAAAATCAGAAAACCAAAAGAAGGAACTCCTGGGCTGTCAAGCAGCCACATCAAATAATTTTTGTGAATATTCATTGATACAAGCAAAAGGCTTATTTATACAGAGTGCTATGGATGTCAGCATCAACTCAACACCAAGGGGTCCTGCTTCAGTTCTGACCCTGTTGCGCTGTGCACTGGATAAACATACAGGCTCTGACATAAAAGCTAACATAAAAAAGGAGGATGTCACAGATACACAGAAAAACAGGGTGAGGAGATGGGGAGCAGGTAACTTGCTAACTGCCAGAGTATATCCCTTGCCTCACCCTCAAGCCTTTTTACCCTTCTGCTGTATTTGATATGGGAACAAATCATCCCCACCTGAGACATCTCTGCTTGCATCAGTGTGTGCAGATGTAGCAACACCTTCACAATAGCCTTGGCTCTTTGCATGACCTGCTCCATGCACCCCCCATGCCCACTCACCGATCATCTTTATCCTCCCTATTTTGTCCATGAGTAACGCAGAGATGATGTTGCCTGGAAGCACGGACAGGCTGCCCAGGAAGCTGACCAGGTAGATCAGGAAATCATTGTCCTCCTCAAAGTCCAGATGGCAGCCTTCCTTCTCGTGCATAAACGTGTTGTTTATGAGCCTGCAGTTGATGAATTTGTGTTCATAGAGATCTGTGAGGGAAAGAGGCAAAGTCTTAATCCTGCTTGACTGATCTCAGGATAGATTAATAAATGCTACACTGCTTATGATCATCAAGCACAGGTTGGCTAATGTTGTCTTTTAAGCTGTATTTGTTCAATTGAGCTGCCAAAGTGCTCAGCATTTTGCCATTACTTTAACCTACCGAAGTCTGAGCCCAGTCTTTTGCATTTCCAGCATGGCAGCCAATGATGCCAGAAGCCATGTGGTTAAAAGCACCAATGGAGCAACCTGAAAACTCCCTCCAAATACATCACCCTCTTTTTTCCATCATCACTCTCATTACCCAGCACACACACAAACACACAGATCCCTATCATCCTTTTTCCTAGAGTCTGATAAAACAGTGTTTGTTTACTAGGAATGGAGAGGAGACTATAGCAGGAATCCCATTACCAGTATTATAAAAGATAGTAGAGATGATGGTGCAGTTTTCAAAGAAGGTCTCGCTGGATGTCACATCTTCAAAGTAGCAGTCCTCAAACAAAGAATGCTCAAACCTCACTTCCTTGAACTTCATGCCAATAAACCTGTGAGCAGGAAACACAACTTCACTCTGTGCTTTAAGATATTTTCTACACTGCACAGCATGTGAGGATCGTTTGAAAAGACAGAGCATAATGGCAATTTCTAGGGTCATTTACAGCAGAGGTGTTGCTTGGTTGTGTAACTGTCCTTGCAGCTCCATACCTACATATTTTGTATTTTAATAAGAGAAAAGAATTATTTATTTATTTATATTTTTTTTTAAGAGAGATGGACCTTTAATGTGCTTCTAGGGCTGAGTGGACAGAAAGCCTCTCACATTCAGCACAAGTCCATCTGAAGAAGACATATTTCACTCAGTGCATGGCATTCTCTTTGTGAGCTGACCTTGCTGCCCCTTTCTCCAGCATAAATAAACCCAGGCATTGTCAGGAGCCCATTAAGCCCTTTGGTGAAAGGCTTCTGACAGTTGTTTAAGCTTGAAGTGATTTTTAAGCAAAAAATGTTTCTAGAGAGTGGGAAGATTATCTGAGTTCTGCTTGTAGCCATCTCTGGTTGAGCACTATTGCTTATCGCGTAATGAAAACAGATTACACTAAAAATAATCAACTGTGTCAGGTGATTGATTTCTCCTCTGATGGGAAGCTTGACATGTCTGACCTGCCTGCCTGAAGGATGACACAATATTGATTTACCTGTGAAACTCTGCAGGGACACCGAGAAGATGTATTAGTTAATGCACAGGCATGTGTGGAAGATGTAAAGAGCTGTTAAGAGCAACTGTTATTGCTGTAGTTAAAGAGGCCACAACTGTCACCAAATAATATATACCTGTCACCTTCTAACATATACCCAGAAACCTAATTGAATTGGGCACTTACAACGCAGTGTAGCATGATGGCTGTTTACACCAGTAAATGAGCACTGCAGGGTTTCTTAACTGAAGCTACTAACGGATATTATTAATGCACAAAATACCACAAGAAGACTGTTCAAGTCTTCTGCTCCATGTAGAAGGTCTTAGAGGTTACAGGAAAACTTATGCTGTTCTGCATTTGCTCAGTAATAGCCAGTGATGTGTTTACTCCCAAAGGCTGTTAGAAGCCCCTTTTCCTGCAGTTTAATTCCTTAATATGCATCTTTAAAAGAGTCATGTAGCAATGGCCTAGTGTTCAATGGAGTTTTACCTCCCAGCCAAAGGCTGGAGGGAAACCACAGCTACAAATCAATACCGAGATGTGCTCTGGGTATTACTGGAGTGTAACTTCATCAGGTTTTGAGTTTTTGAATTGGAGAGAACCAAGGCAGGAGAACAGTGATGTACATAATAGTCTTCATCCTGCAAGATGCTGAACATCCTTAATTCTCAGTGAAGTTAGCTAAACTAAGCACCTCCTCTGGGCATAAGATAAGGGTACCCAATCCCTGAATTTCACCACAATCTACTTCTTACTAGACTTTGGGTGCTTGGTAGGCAGGGGAGTATACCCATAGAGGGCTAGGTTTGCACAATCAAACACAGCTCCTGCTGCAGGGAAGGTCTCTGGAAGGACATGGGGACACATGCTGGGGTCCCCCACCAATGTCTATCAGATATATACCAAGCAAACTGAGACAAATACTTTCTGAGAGGAGAGGAACAACCTGGTCGGATGATGAGGTATGGTTTCATCTGTGAAGACTAAAACAATGTATGTTTTGTGTAACACTGAACATGCAGTGGGACCTCCCCACATAGTGCAAGGCAGCTGGAGCAACACCCAGTCTAGCCTGGGGCAATGTCATCTCTACTGAATTTACATAGGGGTGTTTTCCCACCCATTTGATTGGTATTTAGAAGAGTAATAATAGCCTGCTATGAATCACTAGGATTTATAGTGGTGCGGAACCACTATAGTGATAGTGTGGAATCACTATAGTGATTTGGTCTAGGCTGGATGCAGAAGAAAATACCAATAGGCCCAGACCAAATAGGAGAAAGGGAGAAAAACACTGTTTTGTCGGAGTAACTTCACTGACTTCAAAGCACTAAAAGAGAAGGTGACACAATCGTTCTGTGAGGAGATGCTGGCCGGTGTGGGAGAAGCACACCAGTACAACTGGCCATGGCATAGCATGCACTAATGGGCTGTGGGATGGAGAATAGGGTAAGTCTATCAAGGACTTCAAGAGAAAATAGCTTTCCGTTTTGGCAATGCAGCAGAGAGCATTTTCGTTGCAAGTGATGAGCGCTGCTGCCCAAAACCAGTAGATGTCAGTGTGTGCTAAGGAAAGAGAAGTCACCTCAGCATCCCCAGCACAACCAGAGCACCCACTGCCCTGCTCCCAAGGCAGGGCTGCTGGAAGCAGGACTCCTCACAGGCATCCCTTTGGATATGGAGATGGAGTGGCTAAGGCAGAGCGTGTGAAAACCAGGATAAAAAGAATATTTGGTCTGTGGAAAACTGCCTTTGGGGTTTGAGAGGTACAGACTGTGTGTCCGAAAGAACAACAGATATTGTTGGTGAAAAAATCCAAGGTGGTGGAAAACTATCTATCTATCTATCTATCTATCTATCTATCTATCTATCTATCTATCATCTATCTATCTATCATCTATCTATCATCTATCTATCATCTATCTATCATCTATCTAATCTATCTACCTACCCACCTAAAAGCTTTCTAGAAATGAATTTCAGTTCCCATGCATCAAACCATTTGCCCAGTTAGGTTGTGAATGCTCCATCCCTGGCAGTGGTCAAGACCACTGGTGTCCCTGGTGTCCCTGCCCATGGCAGGGGGGTTGGAACTCAATGAACTTAAGGTCTTTTCCAACCCTAGCTATTCTGTGATTCTATGAAACCAAGTTCTGTTCACTTACTTATCATTTCTGTATTCCCCATTTCTATGGATCTGGTTTTCCAGGGTGAAATTAAAGGTAAAGTGTGAAACTTCTTCCTCATCAAAGACCTTCATTCGGGATTCATATGCCTCTTCTTGGAGATACCGGATCATATCAGGGAACCAGACAATAAGGCCATAGTAACTGTAGTAGAATGGGAGACATACTATTAGGGATACAAGATACAATGATCTACTTCATACCATGTAAACTTGTTAAACACCTAATGCAAATGCATTTCTGATATAAACTCTTGCTTAGCTCTGACACAGGACCAAGCAAAGTGTCTCCCTTCTCTAAACACTCAGCTTACCTCAAAAGCATGTTGAGTTAAATAAGTACCTTACCTTAAGGCCATTGTAAACCAAACCACAGCCAGCATCAGTGTGTTCATCCTGTACTGGGCTGTTAAACAATATAGCACGTTGTCCCAGACCTACAAATCCACAAGAAAGAATGAGCTGCAAGGACACCCTAGCAGACTCTGAGTGCATCATAAATCTAATGCCAGTAAAAAGGGCTCACAAAGGGCTCAGATGTGTGGCTCATGTTCAGTGTTTGTTCAGTATTATATTTACCAAGATAAATGGCTTATAAAAAGATCACTTATTCAGCTATGTGCCAGGGTGTTTGATCTGAACCCTCTCTGATGAGCACAACTAGGGATGAGCTGGGTGATGCAGTGCCTCTCTCAGGTTGTATCAGTAAATGTGGATACAAACCTTTTCTCAAACCCTCTGACATTCTCTTTTCAAATACATGCATGGTCTCAGGACAGCTTTCAAATCAAGCTCCAGAGCTCACTGAAGAGCAAAACCCAAATACAGCTGGCCCTTTAGGAGGAATAAGATGAACTTAGACCAGGATGGAGGCAAGCAGAGCAGGAGGCAGACCAAAACCTGCTCATCTTGACCTGTTGCAGAAAATACTGCCAAGAATATGAGGGGATGCAACTAATGCTCTTGCTACATAAATACAGTAATAGTATAGCACCTCATTGCTATTAAATAAGAAAGACTCTCCTTTACTTTAAGCTCATCTTCCTATGCTATATCTAGCAAGATTTTCTACCAAGTTCTGCATGGGTGTAGGTAAGCAGCATATCATGTGTGACAGGTTAAATTAGCAGAAGAGACAATATAACCTTGTTAGAAACTGAGCCTCAGCAGGAACAAGGTGCAAACACTCTTCTGAATCCTCTGTGGGTGGTAAATTCGTTTTGGCTTGGGGGAGAGGAAATCAATATTTATCTGCTCAGAAGAGTCAATGCCTGGCACTTGTCCTGGAAGCTCTGCACAGCAGCACTACTGTGATGCTCACAGGGGCATTTTGGGCCCTGGCTGGTAGCGTGGCAGTTTGCAGATTCACCAGTCTGCATTGGAAGTGCAATCAGGTTACAGCCCTTTGCAAACACCAGGAGATATTCTTGAGTGAGAATCAGGGTTTCAAGACACAATGACCTGAAACAATGAGGCACTGAAGCCTCCAGAAGCAAAAAAGCCCTTGTGAGATGTTTTTTCTTCTCTTTACCTGTTTAAAAGTAGTTGAGATTCTGACCATCCACCGCTGGTACCAGGTCCCTGTTGAGCTCTGGATTTCGATAAATTCATCCACCTGCTTTGGAGTTTTGATATAGGAAACCTGGGGGAGCGGAAAAGAAAAATTGGACTAAAGTTTCTACAGCTGATCTTCAGTGGATTTAAATTCCACTGTCCCTTGGGCAATGATTCCCCCAGATATCCCATACTATCTTTTCCTTGAATGTTATCACTAACAAATGAGCTAACCAATTCAATTACAGCACAGGTTTTAGTACAGAAATAAGCCAGTCCTCCTTCCTTTCTTTCATCCATTCCTCCATCCTTTCTTTCTCTCCTTCCATGAAATATTTTCAACGCATCACATCCACCTCAATTTATTGGCTAATGTGTCTGTGTGCTACCTTATTATTTCTCTATGCCTTAGATTCTCATTAGAAATTAGGACCAGGCAATTACAGTAAAAGTTATCTCTAAGATCAGCCACTTGTATTTGCATCTAACTGTGCCCTCAGAATCTTTTTAAAGACAACTGGCAGGAATGTTTCTCATTCAGCACCTTTTAAGTACCACTGGCAGAACTGCTATGATGAATGTGTAGATGGGAATCTCGGCATCTGAAAATGCATCCTGTCATCAAGTGAGCCCACACCACGCAATCAATTCATTTCACTAAACCAGCCTGAACCCTCAACACTGAGCCCTTGAACTGGACTGATCAAGAAACTTTAAAAATAGGACCCAAAAAAATGTTTGCTCAGTAGCTTTAAATGAAGGACATATTCAGAGAAACCAGATCTGTTAGTAAATACGAGAAGGAGGTGAAAAGTTACTGAATAAATCTCCACGTATGAATGAGTGCCTTGGCTCAGCTCTTCCTACTGCTGGCACCGTTTAAATGTCAGATCTGGGAACTGTCCCGGCAGCAGCTGACTCACCACAAACTGACAACTTCTGGCCTATCAGAAAAACATGGAATCTGACAGCTTGTGCTACACCAGCCGCACGGATCGCCTGCCCATGCCAGAGGATGTCAGTACATCTTGAGTCACCCGGTGCGCCACACCTCGAGCTGTGATACTGAGATCAGCTCATGCTGTAGCAGTCATGACACTGTTGGATGGAGTAATGAGCACTAATGGGTGTTGTACAGCTGCTCCTTCATTCTCCTACTCAGCTCAGGCTCATAGTGCCATACACGCACACACATACATACACATTTGAATTTCAGTCCTCTTTTCCTCCCACCATGCAGCAGCACTGGCCAGCCCAGCTCAGCATTACAACAAAGCCAAGTAGGGATTTAAAGAGAAGTTTTCTCTTTGCTATCAAGGCTCACACTAGTCAAATGGCCAGTAGCCTAAAAACAACCCATGCTCATTAAGTACCCACCTGAACCTGCACACAGTTGTCATGCACAGATATTAAACATTAATTTCTTGAAGGATCACTCCTGAGGAGCCCTGTTTCAAGACAATCATTTTAAGCATGGAGCTCTGCTCTCCTTGCTTAAAAAGGTGTTTTACATACAACCATATCCCCTTTTCTCCATCCTTTAAGAGCACACATCCTCTCATCTCTGAAAGGATAAATCAAAAGCTATTCCCTGGCTAGCTCACTGGGAGCTTACAACTGAACAACTAATTTGCACCTAACCCCAGCATAGTCCTCTTACCTGATTTTACTATTAACGAAGGCCACTGGTGTAACCTTTTTCACAACAAGCAGCAGACTAATGAGTAATAGCCACTCATCCCACTTTCCCTTGGAGAGGTTGAAGATTGGATATGAGGCAGGTGGAGTTTGGGAAGCTCATTAGAAGGTAAGTGAAGTCTAATCAGAGTTTGATTAGAAGCCAGAATGGAGAAAAGAGTGACTCAGATCTCCCACATGATTAATATCTCTTTTATTCAGTTTTAGTCTCTTAAAGCAGACTAATTACCTGTGCATGTAATTGGAAATTCACTGGTCTATATGCTATAGAGTAACACCAGGAATGAAGAGTACTTACTGCAATTCACAGGATTGACTCATTCTTGAAATAAAGTCAGATTGACATCAACATTTAAACACATAAAATGTATCTCAAAGTTCTTTTTCTGATCACTAGGGGAGGTTACATTAAAAGAACCTCAAGGAGGAATAAACTGGTACTGTGCTGCCCTGAGGAAGATATGTCCAGCTTTTACCTACTTTTTACATACTGATGGCTTTGTTAAACTCACCGTAAACACCCTCTCTGGCTCTCCCTTGGCCCGCATGTTGGTGTCATGAACTTGCTTGAGGATCATCCAGGCTTCATCATGTTTACCTATCTGAAAGTGCCAAAGAAAGGAAAACAGATGTTGGGGTTTCCAGCTCAGTAATTTATCAAAGCATAGAAACCAATTCTAGAGGTACAGTATAGTGAAGAAACACACATACAGCACTGCCTGCATGAAGGCAAAGAGCTGAGAGCAGCTTGTATTCACAGAGTGCAGCCTCTCTGTGCTGAGGAAATGAGTTACCCTAAAACTGGCTGAGGAAGGAAAGGAGTCAGGAACAGAGCTTTCAAACTAGATAAAAGAAAAGGGGATGGATAAGGAGATTTAGGGCTCTAAACAAACTTCTGCTAAAGATTTGCAGGGTTAACTTGTGCTAGGTATTGCCACATTTCACATCTGTGAAATGGGAATAAGTAATAGTTGTGAAAGATTTCTGGGATTTATGTTTTACTCGGTAAAATGCACTCCGCCCTTTCCTTTTCCATCAGGATGCATTAGTTACATGCCCAGACTCTGTGAGATGTTTTCAGAATGCCTCTGACTTACAAAATTCCCAGCCCTCCCCACCTTCTTTCTGTACCACACGTGTCAGTAAACCACTAACCATCGTGACTGACCCCGCAGTCTGTTATCTTTGGGGTTTAAGCTATCTGCAGAGCTAGTGTAGACCCTTTTGCCTCTGGGCTTGTGCTATGCATGTTTGATGGAACACAGACAGAGGGTGACGCATTAGGGACCAGCTATCCTCTGCTGATATCAGACTGCCACGGTCAGATGAATCATCTTACCTCCAGCAAAAACCGTGGGCTTTCAGGCATGAATTTGAGTGCCACCAGGGAGGCGATACAGGGCAGAGAGCAGACAAGCACAAAGACTCTCCAGCTGTGGAAGTGGTACTTGGTTCCCATACTGAACCCCCAGCCTGGAAATAGAAAAAGCCAAAAAGTAACAATACTGACAAAGGCATTCTGAGTTTTTCTCTGAGAAAGCAACTCTGCACTTTACAGCACTGTATGACATGGGGACAGGCTGGAAGTTTTCTATTCTTAGTAATGATGGCTCTTAGAGGTTCAATAGCATGCTCAGTAGGTAACAGCAACTGAGTTCATGCTCATTACAGAAAATGGGACATACCTGCTTAGGCTCTGCCTTTTAACAAAGCTTTATCTTTGAGCTTAGAAATCAACTAGTGATAAGAATAGCTCCATGCAAGTGTAAGGAAGTAAAGCTGGGAAAGGGCAGAGGAATCAGGGCTGTATTTTATTGCTTCTTGGTGATGTTATATAAAGTTTATAAAGGTTAAAGCTTCTCTGATCTGAGAGGCACATTAGAGACAGCTCCTTTCCATCTCCTACATCACACATGGTTTTCACATTTCATGGAAGCAAGCTAGGAAATCAAGTTTGTTGTTTTCCAGACCTACAAGACCTGAGCTGGGATTCAAACTTGGAAGACTCAAGATCTTAATCCTGCATTTGAGATTCCCCCTCTTTTCCTGATACCTAACCAGGTCAGCTGCTCCCCGCTAAGCACTCGAAAGTACAGCATCATTCTTACATTGATCCTTTTATCTTCCCTAGGCTCAAATCTTAGAAGGAATGTTTAATTCTGTTCTTTTCTATAAACATTTTTATTCACATACTGAAGAAACCTTCGAGCAATGTTTTTTGCAGAGGTCTCATCTGAATCAGTCTCATGGTGTTCTACTCATTTCACCAAGTTCCAAAATAGTAGGTGGAACATGGGAAATCAAAAAGAGAAGCTACAAAAATACAGCACCAAAAACTCATCTGAAAAAGAAATGTAATGGAAATACGTGAGGGGTTTTTAAAGCAAGAGTAGTTGCAGATAACAGAACTCTTTCAACCTGACACCACTCTGCAGTTAAGTTTGCCTGTTTGTTCCAACAGTCTGTCAAATCAATCAAAAGCATGAACATTTCTTTATGCTGAGTGCACTTTAAACGTGGTAAAAATGTTTTGCTAGGTATATGTTAGTGTTTTTCTTCATGGTCTTTGTGGCCTGTCCTACTTTCCTCAAACAGGATTTTGCCAACAGCTGGTGTCACTGAATTCCAAGGGAATTATTCTTTTCCAGTAGATATTTGCTTATGATGTTTTCCTGGAGTATATGCGAGTTACAAGGAAAACCACAACATGCAGGTGTTTGCTGCTCAGAGCACCAGTGTGTTCCAGAGTACACCCATTTACTTCCAGCTATGGGCAGGGAACCCATTCCGCTCCTAAACCCATTTAGGGGAAGTCAGATGTGACTCCAGCCCATCACATGCTGGCCAGATGTGCTGCCAGATATACAGCCCTGAGAGTGTTGACACTTGACTAAGGAAAAGAATATGTACTGTCCTCACTGCAATCATTTATAGCACCCAGTAATTTCCTGGTTAAAGTTACTTAGTCTTGATAACTGGATGGTTTTTTGCAACAAAATCTCAGTCCAGTTTTCCCTGGGTACACTGACATTTAGATTAAGAGCTCAGGCTCTGGCAGTATAATTCCAGAGGTGTATCTGAAGCTTTTGATGCAAAGCAGCCCTCATCAGTCCTATTTACAGCCTTACTATCAGTCAATCAATCTGCGGTCTATTTATCAGATCTTTTCTGTGCACTTCAAGTAACTGTTATTTTCAGTGTTGTTTATGCTGGGATGTGTAAGGACTGAATAATGCTACCTGTGTGGGGTTTTGGGGTAGTTTAGTGGTGCAGGAATGCGGTGTTGTCAAAACTGAAAAGCACAAAGCAATTACCGTAATGTGGGATGATGCTCCAAGCCATTGCTGAGGCAAAAATGCCACCAATCATCCAGAACATGCAAAGCCAGCTCAGGTGTTCCCCCCTCTTCTCACGAGATAGGAATTCAGAGAAATAGGCAAACACGATAGGGAGGGTACCCCCAATACTGAGGAGAAAAAACAGCACATGGAAAGAATAAGAGTTATCTTCAATATCTTTGTAGCTAGGATTGCACATGTAAAGAGGGAAGGCCACACTCACAGATGTGCTGCACATAGGTGGGACTTGCATGGAAAACTAGCATATCTCTTTGGCTAGACTGGTCTTAGATATCAAAGACCAACAAGGTCCTTCTTATGAAAGATGAATTTCCTGTACAGTTTATATAAAGGCAGTGTTCTTCACCTAGACATCTTCTCTGGTGTTATTTTGTGATCACTCATTTTAGGAAGGCAAAATACAGGCAGGCAATGGGAACTGCTGAGGGCCTCATTGGAGGCCCTGCCAGTGAGAACTGTAAACTGAGGTGGGCATTTATCAGTCTCATTCGCCAGCTGCACAATTTGGACAGTACCAGAAGAATGCCAATGACCAAACTTTCCTACCACTAATGCTTTAAGGGTCAAGAGTGAGGTAATGCAACCACACATGTTAAACATCAGTGCCATCATGGCTTGGTACCAGAGATCCACCTCCCGATCAGCCTTCCTTCTCCCACCCATTACATCCAAACTGCTGACCCATGATGAGACTCCTCCAGGACTTGGGATGGATTCACCAATCACCCACCCGAGGCCCGAGATAAGGCGACAGAAGAGGAAGAATCCATATCCCTGGACGATGGAGGAGAGGAACGCAAAGGCAGCGTTGATTGCAAGTGATATGATGAGGCATTGTTTTCTTCCCAGTTTGTCAGCAAGGCCGCCCAGCATGACAGCCCCCACCATCATTCCTAAGTAGACTATCAAACCTAGAAGTGAGAAAGAGAGACAGTGAGTTTGGTAACCAGGTGGAAATGGCATGCAATGTAGAAGCAGATTTTAAAGTGCATGTATGGTACCCGATGTTGAACTGCCATACCATGCAATAACATGGAGATACTCATATCCCCCCAAATTAGCTATTTCATGTGCCAGAAACTCTATCCATTGGTGGAACCTAGCTTTCCCACCTTGTGTCCAAGAGCTTGCATCACTTCCTACTTCACTGCTTCATGCAATACAGACATACCCTCATTTCACTAGCCCAAATCTTTCTTTCCCAACCTTGCTGCTCACACATCCCCTGCACGTAAGCAATGGCCACACATAAGCAGCTTAGGATGCACGTGTCCCAGCTATGTGCCACCAACAATACAACGGAAGTCTGGTGTCTTAACCCCACTAACCCCCCTGAGCACAATGGGACTGAGGATGTGTGGGGTTCTCTCTGGCTGATGTTTATGCTCAGAAAGCAGTGAGAGCAGAGAGAGTGCTAAAGCATAGCTAATTCTCTTTGCACATTACCTATCCTACACATGATTCCTTTGCAGTCTGTCGTCTCTTCCACTCTGTTTTTCCTAGCTTTATCTGAAAGGATCAGTCTGTTACTCACCTGTGTAGTACAACTACTTCTTTTGTTACTGAGCCAAGATCTGGCATCTAACTAAAAGACAACTTAAGGAAGAGAGTGCAGTCTTGATCTGAGAATTTCAGGAGAAGGGAGAGTCTATTGCTTGTCTTGACAGTTTGCTATGTAGAGTTGTTGTTCTGATGTTGTTAAGAAAATGAATTCTTTTTAATTTGACTTCATTAGATCTTCTACTATGGGGTCCTCAAAAGACCATTTCAGAGACTACATTTAGTGCCAGACTGAATAGAAAAATATGGGCTCCCTGTACCCAGCTCACTATGTGCTTATGATGTCTGGCCTAGAAAACACAGCAGTTGTCCTTGGCTCTTCTACTGACATTGCCTGTCATTATGCCTTTTCCTTTATGCGGGCATCAGTGTAACTATCACCAATTAAAAAAAGCTCAAAGGTCCAGGAATACTTTTTTTTCCCTCATTTATTTTATCTGCTTTCCAGATGTAGAGACTTCACTGAGCAATAGTCCTAGGAAGAATCACAGGTTATGGTCCTTTTGCTGGCAAGCACAGCAGGATCAGATATTAAGCATTTAAAATCTGATAGCAATTGGTGCCAGAGGGCTGGAAATACATACAACTAGAATGAAATGATTTATACTGCTGTTAAGGAAGAACATCTGGGAATTGATCAGTGCAGCAGCTGGCTCCCTATGGGCCAGGTCTTTGAAGGCTGTATTGGCCTCTAGGCTTCAGAGTTTTGTTTCAGCCTCATCTGTGAACAAATCTTTGTTCATTCCTTTGGGCCAGGAATGATGTAAGGATGGAAGGGATCAGGCAGGATCATGTGTCTCCAGGGCTCCTCTGAAAAGCCCAGATGAGGCAAGACAACAAGAAGTCAGACTGTCAATGGGTGGATTAATGCTGCTGAAGTCCCAGTGCAAAAGACAAAGCACTTCATGCTTTGCTTGCTGTGTATGGCTGTGGCTGCCTCTGCCTTAGCATGGCAGGACCAAAACCCTTCATGACTGGGGGACTTTACTGCAAGTGACAGCTTCTGACAAGGAAGGTTTGGGGCAGCATACCCAAGAACATTGTTAGCATCAGCAGCTCGTTGGCTACTAACCTGTGTATCTCTCAGAGCTGTCTCTTGCAAGCTAGTGGTCCACAGAGTAGGATCAGTGTCACCATCACTGCCTTCAGAAGACGGTTGTTTCCTGAGGAGCAGAGGTGCAAGAGGCTGCTCCCAGCCTCCTGTATCGTCTTGGACACCACAGGCAGGATGAGCAGGATGATAGTCTATGTCTATATGCTACACAGTCCTGCTGTGTATATCCTGATGGGACTGGATCATGGCTGGATATGACCCAGAGGAGCTGAACTATGTCAGGATGGAGGAATACCTGCTTGCTGGAAAGCAGAATTTGCAGTGCAGGGAATTCTTGAAGGAAAAAATTAGTCTTGGAGATGTTTGGAGACTGGGGGCACGTCAGGTTCAAGACCCAGCTGAGCAGAGGCTGAAGGAAATACTGTAACTCAAGAAAAGCAGCAGTGGTCCCTGTTTCCCTGACCCCTAGTAAAGGCAACGGATGCTAAGCAAGTAAATACAGTGTTTAATAGGAAACATTCCTATTCACTGGCTGAAGAAGTGCAATTAAAAGCAACATTTTTCAGGCATGGTTGAAGAACAACCCTTTGGAGGCTTGTTCCTCACCTTGAACCAAAAGTTGACTTCTCTTGAGAGCTAACATCTTCCTCACAACCTGTTCTGCCAAGCACATCTCTTGGAAAAGAAGGTGACAATGAAATTTTTTGCAATTCATTGATGTTTAAACAAGGCAATCATTCTGATGGCTGAAGACTGTTCTGTGGCATGCAGCAAAGCTAGCTAAAGACTAATGCAAAGGGTTATTTGGCAGCCAGTCCTGTCATTCTTTTGACTGGAAATGCATTACTAAATTAAAAGTATACAGCAGAGATCCACTGAGTGTTTGAAGGATGCTTGTCTCACATCAGTCAGAACTGGAAAAGTTTGAACTTCTGAAATCCCTCCTGTTCCATAGCAGGGTGGTGAGGTCACCTCTCTATGAACAATGCTACTTTTTTTCCTATCCACACAATGTCAAATGGACAAGCAAGGATTTTGTGTGTCAAAGGCAAAATAAATGTTCTCGCCTCTCAGCAGCCTTTGTACCAGAGCCACAGCACAGGATTTTACCACTGCAATTGTACCTCCACCATAAGCATGGGGCTCTGTGCAATCAATACCCACATCCTCTGCCCTTCCCTCCTAAACCGAACTGTCCTGGTGAGGTGATATGAAGGTGTGTAAAGGTTTCACATGCTGATCTGCAACAGTCAGAGAAGATATGTACAGTAGAATGAAGATACATACTGAGAATGTGGGATCACTTTCTCTATCAACTTTGGCCTCCAGTTTGTTGCTGAAGTGCAAATTATAAGCAATAGAGATAAAAAACTGCGTCAGTCCAAAATGGTTTTGAAGGATGACTTTTAATGCAGTGCTGTGAGGCTTAATGCTTTTACTCTGGTTCCTGGGCTACATTTAATGGAGCAGCTCTGATTGCAGTCAGAAAATGGAAGTGATGATGCACCCTGTACTCACTGGTGCATCACAGCCACCCATCTGACAGTGAGCACTGCCAGCACAGTGGCTCACAGCACAGCCCAACCCACATGGAATGTGGCAGTGCTTGAAACAGGCCATCAAGAAGTGAAGTGGAGCTGCTTTTGTGAGCAAATCCTTGCAGATTCTCACGGGGGAGCCCAAACTTGTGGTGGAAGAGAGATTACATCTCTGTAAGACAGCATCCACAAAGCGGTAAATGCTCCATCCCTGGCAGTGTTCAAGGCCAGCTTGGACAGAGCCTGGGTGGCACGGTTCAGTGTGAGGTGTCCCTGCCCATGGCAGGGAGTTGGAATTAGATGATCTTAAGGTCCTTTCCAACCCAAACCAGTCTATGATTCTATGAAATAGTGAAGCAACATAAATCACAGCAGAGCTGCTAATGTTATGAACTCAGAGGATGTGGCTTTAATTGGCTGTTGTATATGATAAATCAATGGATGGATGCATTGTCACCCAGAAATTTAAAACAATGAAAATCTGTAGTAAGAGAAGCCTCAGGGATGACCAGAGGCTGTCTGCTTGGCCAGTTTATGAGGGGAAAGATCCTGGCAACAAAAATGTGTTCTTCAGGGTTGAAACAAAATCAGCAGGATGCTTTATTATAATAGAGAGGTCTCTTCTGGGAAGACTGCATGTCCTGGCCAATATCATTAAAACTGTTGGGGCAGCTGCTATAAACCACTGTCATCTGGTGGATCTTGGGATCCAAGGTGCAGAACAATGTCAGGCTTTGCAGATTTATGTGTCCTGGATTAACAATAAGATGGCAGGGACCCAGGGAAGAATTGGGATAGTTACTCAGCCTCTATGCAGGAGACACAGTCTTCTGGGGAGCACAGTGATGGTTGTTACCTCTGAAAGAGGTCCAGATCATATCAAAGAAACTCTGTTTTAAGGAGAATTAGACCAAGAAAAGTGGTCACTAAACGGTATTCTTTTGCTGTGTTACTTTTTTCCACCAAATATTCTATAGAACAATACCACAACAGTCTGTACCAGAAACTTAGCATCAAACCATGCAGACCTAGGCTGTGCTATGAGGGCTCAGCTTTCAAATTAACACATACAATGCTTAGGCAAAATGTTAAAGACAACTCTGAATAAGCCATTATTTGCAGGCTATTCCACAGGTAATGGAGTATAACATATACCTGTGGGAAAGTCTGCAATAGCCTTCCATGAAATCGGTAGAAAACCAAAGAGCAGAAATTCTAAGAATAAATTTCAGGTTATGACTCACACAATGCAGAAGTTATAAGGAAAATATGTGTTTGGGCTTCTTCCCATTAGAAAAGAGGTAACACATACAGGATTTTCACACTAAGAAATTTATTAGCCTTAATGGAAGTTGTGTGCTCCATGTTAGGCTGGAATTGTGGACTTAAAAGCTGAAGTTCTAGGAATACAGAAAGGCAGATACAGCATACAGCTATGTGTGAGCGACACAATAGTAAAATACACTAGTATTTTACTATTCAGTATGATTAAATGTATACTTATAAGGAGAGAAAACAAAACATTCAAGATTTACCTAAATCTCCACCACAAGCATGGATTTCTGTCATTGACAGTTAATGGGATTAAAGTTCTTAAAACTAAGGCACAACTGAAAATAATCCCTTCCATGCCAGGACAAAGACTTGTAGAATAAATGGAAAATCTGAGCAGAAAAGAACCCAGCTCAATTGGAAGAATTAATCCTGCAGTCCCTGGGGCTGTCAGGAAGGTGAGGAGGCTGCCTGGGTCCAGGAGCAA